GTGTTTATACGTACTTCACCCAACCCCAAAGTCAATTCTATCAAGTTGATTCTGGTCGAACTGCCCCGTGGATTTTCAAGACGAATGGCCGGAATAGAAAGCCTCATCTCTCCCCCGGAGCAGCGGGTGGGTTCAAACTGCTGATACAGTTAGCAGCCCAACATGTAACCCACAGCGCCCCCAGTGGTCACTCTAGTAGCTCTGGTGCTGTCAGGTAAGCATTGCACTGGTAACCACAAGGCTGGCAATTCCAACACACAATCTGTTCCACAGGAGAGAGATGAGGCTGCCATGATTTTCGTTTAGGCCACATTGCAACATTGTTATTGCAGGGATCATCCAACTAGTTTCCTTATCAGACCTGGACCTCTCAGTGTATTTTTTATCCTGTTTCTGGTGGCATATTTAAAAGTACAAAAAAGGTTCATTCATGGCATACACCTGCTCAAAACCCAGTAAAGATTCTCGATGCTTTGGGGCAAATACTGTTCTATGAGTTAGAGGGTTTTGCATCTGTTGCCTACTGCTTACTTAATATGTCCTTTGGTTGAATTATGCCCTTGCTCAAATACTGCCCTTCTTTCAGTCCCTGTAAAGCTCTGCTCTCTTTCTTGCTGCAGATCTTCACATCCCACACCAGGTATTCCCTCTGCCGTGTTGCTGTTTGGTGCCATCAAGCGGGCTCCAATTCACAGTGACCCTAAAACAGAACAAAACACTGCCTGGTCCTGCACCAGCCTCACCATTGTTCTTATGTCTGAGCCCATTGTTGCAGCCACTGTGTCCATCCATCTTGCTGAAGGTCTTCCTCTTTTCACTGCCCCTCTACTTTATTTGCCAACATGATGTCCTCCAGGGACTGGTCTTTCCTGACAACATGGCCTAAGTATATGAGACAAAGTCTAGCCATTGTGGCTTCTATGGAACACTCTTGCATACTTTTGCCAAGACAAATCTGTTTGTTCTTTTGGCAGTCCATGATACTGTCAAGATCTTCGCTAGCACCATAATTTGAATGTATCGATTCTTCTTTAGTCATCCTTAGGCTGTGTCCAACTTTCACATGCATATGAGGCCAATGAATATATCATGGCTTGAGTTAGGTGTACCTTTGTCTTCAAAGTAACCTCGTTGCTTTTCAATACTTTAAAGAGGTCTTAACAGTAGGTTTACCCAATGCAATGTTTTGTTTGATCTCTTGACTGCTGCTTCCATGAGCACTGGTTGTGGATCCAAGCAAGACAAAACCCTTGACAGCTTCCATCTTTGCTCCATCTATCAAGATGTCACCTATTGGTCCAACTGTGAGCATTTGATTTCCTCTACATTAAATTGTAATCCATATGTAAGACTGCAATCCTTGATCTTCATCAGCAAGCGCTTCAAGTCCGCTTTACTTTCAGCAAGCAAGGTTGAGTCATCCTCATATCTCAGGTTGCTAATAAGCCTTCCTCCAATCCTGATGCCATGTTCTTCTTCCTATAATCGGACCTCTAATTGTCTGCTCAGCATACAGATTGAATAAGTATGGTGAGAAAATACAACTCTGTCACATACCTTTCCTGATTTTAAAGCACACATTATTCCCTTGTTCTGTTCACACACATGTATAAGTTCTGTGTGAGGACAATGAACTGTTCTGAATTTCCCATTCTTCTTAAGGCTATCCATGCTTTATGATCCATACAGTCACGTGCTTTTGTGTAGTCAATAAGACACAAGTAAACACCTTTCTAGTATTCTCTGCTTTTGGGCAAAATCCATTTGATATGAGCAATGTTTCACATCCTCTTCTGAATCTAGCCTGAACCTCAGGCAGTTACCTGTCAAGGCAATAGCTGCAACGATTTTACTTACATGTGATACTAATATAATTCTATAATTTGAACATTCTGCTGGGTCACCTTTCTTTCAAATGAGTACAGATGTGGATCTCTTCCAGTATTTTGGCCAAGTAACTGTCTTCCATATTTCCTGGCATTTACAAGTGAGTGCTTCCAGTGCTTGTTGAAACATATCAGTTGGTATTCCATCAATTCCTGGAGCCTTGTTTTTTTGGTTAATGCTTTCAGTGCAGCTTAAACTTCTACCTTTGGTTTTATTGGTTCTTGCTCATATGCTACCTCCAGAAATGGTAGACTGTGAACGGGTTTTGTACAGTGCCTATGTATTCTTTGCATCTTCTTTTGGTGCTACCTACATCGTTCAATATTTTGTCCATAGAATCTTTAAATATTGCAACTTGAGGCTTGACATTTCCATCAGGATTTTCAGCTTAAGAGAGGCTGAGTGTGTTCTTCCCTTTTGGTTTTCTAACTCTAGGTCTGCACATGTCCTGGTAAATGAAATTTTACTGTATCTCCTTGATCTTTCCTTACAAATTTTCTGCTCAGCTCTTTGACGTCTTCAATTTCTTCCAATTTCCTTAGCTACTCTACAATTAAGAGCAAGTTTCAGAGTCTCTTCTCACATTGACTTTGATCTTTTCTTTCTTTCCTGTTTTTTTAAACGACCTCTGCTTTCTTCTTGAATGATGGTCTTGATATCCTCCCACAATGCCTTAGGTCTTCTGTTAGTAGTGTTAAGTGCATCAAATCGGTTCTTGAGATGTTATCGAAATTCAGGTGGGATAGATAGATGCAAGGTTGTATTTTCGCCTTCATGGCCTTGTTTTAATTTTCTTGTTTGAAACTGACCTTACAGATGAGCAGTGGATGGTCTGCTCCACACTCGGCCCCTGGCCTGGTTTTAGCTGCTGATACTGAGCTTCTCTCAATTGTCACTTTCCACAGATGTAGTCAGATTTACTTCTGTGTATTCCATCTGGAGAAGACCGTGTGTACAGTCACCGTTTGTTTTATTGAAAAAGATATTTGGATGAAGAATTTGTGGGTCTTGCAGAATTATATCATGTGATCTCCAGCTAGGTTCTAACACCAAGACCCTATTTTCCAACTCCTGTTTCTGACTCTTTGTGCCCAACTTTTGTATTCCAATTATCACTAATTATGATTGCATCTCGATTGTGTTTGGTCAATTTCATACTGCAGTCGGTAGAATTCAGTTTCGGCATCACTAGCTTTATTGGTTGGTTTATGTATTTGAATAATAGTTGTTTGAATTTCCTTGAATGGGCATAGAAATACTCCTCTCCCAATCAATATTGCACTTCAAGATAGATTTTGAAATGCCCTTTTTGACAATTAATGCAGAACCATTCCTCTTGATTGTGCCAGAAGCACCATAGTAAACCATATGATTTTCTGATTCAACATAGTCGATACCGGTATATTTCAGCTCATGAATGCCTGAGATATCAATCTTTGGTATTCCATTTCATTACTGATGACTTCCAAATCTCCTAGATTCATACTCCATACATTCAAAGTTCTGATTATTGATAGATGTTTGCAATGTAATGTTTCTTCTCACTTTGAGTCATGCCCCCTCAGCCAATGAAGGTCCCGAAGGCCTTAGTTTATCCACATCATTATGGTTCACTCTATTTTGAGAAGGTAGCTCTTCCTTAGCCTTATTTTAGGTGCCTTCTGACCTCAGAGGCTCATCTTCTTACACTATATCAGACAGTGTTTTGCTCCTGTGCATGAGGTTTTCACTGGCTAATTCCTTTGAAGTGGACAACCTATTCTTTCTCGTTGTCTGTTCTTAGTCTGGAAGCTCTGCTGAAACCTGTTTGTTTTGGGTAACGCTGGTGGTATTTGAAATACCAGGGTCATAGCTTCCAGAATCACAGCAACAAGCAAAACAGCACAGTATGACAACACGGCAAACACGTGATGGATATACAAGGGGGTACCATAAAAAAAACCAAAAAACGGAATTGCACTGGGAAGAGTGGAGCGTTCGTCGCTAGGCAAGCAACTCACTCTGAATTAGTGTACCCAGTGGCATCGCCTGGGAAGGTTCTCTCTGGTCCCAGTTTTTCCTAAAAGCAGTTTCACTTTAAGGTCATTTTTTTGTGATGGCCAATTGAAGATAACAGCATGTGGCTGTGAAATTTTATTTCCTGCTTGGGAAAAATGCCACAAAAACTGTTGTGATGTTGAGCACAGCTTACAAGGACAGTGCTATGAGAGAAAAACTCAAGTGGTTTTCTCATTTCAAAAAGGGTGAAATATCTATTGATTGATAACAAACCTCATTATGGACATTTGTCAACTTCCCAAATGGCTGAAAATGTCAACTCGTTTAGAGTTTAGAGTTTGTTCCACCAGGTTGGACTTGTATTTAGAGGTTTTGAAAAGATTGTGTAACAGTGTATGACAAAAAGGCATGATTTGTGGCAGACAAGTGACTGATTTTGCCACTACGACAATGCACCTGCTCACGCAGCCATCTCAGTGTGCCATTTGGGGGCAATAAATAGCATTCCTTTCTTGCCCCATGTACCTTACTCACTTGACTTCGTTCCATGCGACTTCTTTTTGTTTCTTTGAATGAAGAGGGACATGAAAGGACAGATATTTGATGACATAGAAGAAGTGAAGAAAAAAATGAGGGAGATGTTGCCAGTCATCCAAACAGATGAGTTTGAAAAATGTTTCTAAGAATCGAATCGCAGATTTGACAAATGTATTAAGTGTGATGAAGAGCACTTTGACGGTTGTTTTGTAAAACATAGCTTTGGGGGGTGGGTGGGAGGATTCTGGGTTTTTTTGTGGGTACCCCTCATATAGACATATATATACAGAAACACATATACATTGATTTGTAAGTATGTGCATGGAGTAATTTTGTTTGTTTTAATTCTCTCTACATACTTCAGGAAGACTTGTCACAGTGATAAATCTAAAAATCAGTGTTTGCGTTTGATAATGTATATGTGCATAGCATGCATTCTGTCGTCATATTATTTTGTTTAATGGCCACTGGTGTTCCAAGTATAGCCCTTCAGACAGTACGTAATCTAGCTCAGAATTGTATTTTTCCTTCTTGTATCCTCTCTTCTGACTGGCCTCTGTGCATCACTCCTGTTCAAGGTAAAGAAACTGCTGCAATGAAAGCTGATCTCCTCAGGGCCCGGAATATGAAAAGGTATATCAACCAACTGACTGTGGCAAAGAAGCAGTGTGAGAAGAGAATCAGAAACCTGGGAGGCCCGGTCTATGACCAGCAAGAGGATGGGGCTGTGGATGAGGGGGATGGCCCTCCAAGCCAAAAGGTGGAACTCAGTAGTTGTGTTTTGTTTGTTTGTGTTGCCATTTTATGTTTTTTACCCTGCCTCCCCCCCAAACCCTTATTGTACTTGCTGCCCCTATAGGCTCATCAATCCTGAGTTTCATATACTGAAACACAGAAACACACATAACACAACTTCAAGTGGGTGACCTCCAGTGGCATAGCACCTCTAAGGTACATCCTAATATGAACAAACAAAAACAAAACCCAAACAGAACAAACCAAAAATACATAAAATGTTGAAAACCAGATCGGGTCCAGTGAGCATCAGAGGGGGACCCTCTGACAAAGTTTTAACTGTTCAGGTGGGATTTATGCCTTTGATCTTCTATACTCATCTCTCCAATGCCCTCTGTTTAGTAACCACTTTCCTCCCGTCCCTCAATTGTGGACAGAGGGAGCTCACTGGAGGCTTATTTCCAGTTTTGTGGGAACAAATGAATCTTGGGCTCCCACTATCATCCATGGCCTCTGCAAACCAGATTCTCCCTATATAGGCCCTGATACTAATCCCTCCTTCGACTTTGGGTTTATGATTTACAAGCCTTTGGTGACTGATGATGGTGTGCTTTTTCCATGTGGACTTAGTTGACATTTCACTTAGATGGCTGCTTGTTTGGAGACAAGCCTTGAAGCCCCCAGACGCTATTTTATCTGATAGCTGGTGACCATCTAAATTCTTCACCACACTTTGCTATAGCCCCTATATCTTCTGTGTTCCCTTCCTGAGGGTGAGTATCGAGCAGGCCATGAAAGCAGAACTAATTGTTCTTAAGTTGGAGCTAGGATTTAGTGCAAGCCTCTAACCCATTCCTGGATCTATGTTTTGTTTGTTTAATTTATTATTAATTGGAGTTAATTTGTATGCCATATCCTTCCATAGTTCATTCACATCAAGCAGAATTAGACAATTGCTTCCACAATCCGTTTTGAAACAACCAGCGAAAGCTCCATTTCTGGTTCTTTCCTCAGTTACTCAGGAGAAGAGGAACCCATTTCTGTTGCAATAGCTTATTCTCAGGATGTAGACGACATGAACAACTCTAACAACCAGGTAGAACTGATGGACATTTATGGCGTACTCCACTCAAAGCAACAGTTGCATATTGAACATACACCAAGAAAGCGTGTGTGCTTATCCATAAAATAAGTCCCAACAACTTAAAAAAGTTAAAACATTACAAAAGCATTACATTGGAAATCAACAATAAAATGAAATCCCAGAAAATTCCCAAGTATTTTGAAATAACACTTATAAGTAAGAAAAATGTGGGGGTCAAAGAAGAAATCATTGGGGATTTTGAAATGTATTTTGAATGGAATGAATATGAAAATGCAATATATCAGAATTTGTGGGGTATAGTTAAAACAATCCTTAGAAAGAAATATATAGAGTTTTAAAACACTATATAGTTTTTAATGCTTACATTAGAAAATAAGAGGGCTAAAACTCTGTGATCTGGTAGACTTGTGTTGAGAGTGACAAATTGTAGATGAATCGTATTGCATTCATTGTCAAAAAGAACATTTCAAGATCTGTGTTAAGTACAATGCTGTCTATGATAGGGCATTGTCCATACATTCACATCAGTTAATATGATTATCTTTCATATATACACGCCAATTACTAAGGTAAAAGATGATGGAATTGAAAATTCCACTACTGTGGGATGAGACCATGGAGAACCTCAGTATCATCAGCCAAAATAAGGCCAGGGGTTGACGTTGGAAGGACCATTGTGCAAGTGCAGGTTGAAAGTGAGGAAAATTAAAACAAGGCCATACAAGCAAAAATATGACCTTGAGTATATCCCTCCTGGATTTAGGGACCATCTCGGAATAGATTTGACTTACTGAGCGCTAATGGCCAGAAGGCCTGACAAGTTGTGGGATGACATCAAGGACATCATACCTGGAAAAATCAAAAGGCTATTAAAAAAGATGGGAAGGAAAGAAAAAACGAAAACAAGTTTCCCTTAAAATCTCCACAAGTTCAATTTAATGAAGTGCATGTGCAAAAATTTGAAACATCATATTTAAAGGTGAAATATAGAATGCCCCATCCAAAGAAGAAGAATAAGGTCTAAATATTTGCTCTCACACTTCTAGTTACTATTGTACTGGACACCCTAGCCTGTAGAATAAGCCAGCAGAGCCAGAGAAGAAAACTGTGCAAATTGGAAATGAAGTAAAACTGGGTATATGTTTGGATGACATGATAATATATACAGAAAAATTCTTAAGAAATCTAAAAATAAGTACTAAACTAACAAGTT